AAAACCAGAAAAACATTCTGTGTAGTATTTTTTTTTTTTAATCTTTAATGATTCGGTCAGAGATAAAGTGACCTTCTCTCTGGCCTTCAGACCAAGGTTTTGATCTCGTCATCCCAGTCATGGACACTGAAATATCAGCTTCCAGGGGAAAACCTGAAAGCTGTCTGGCAATGAGTCACTCAACAGAGTGAAACACTCTGAAAACAGAATGAAAGCAAAGAGACCAACCAACTGTTGCTCCTTCTTGGTGACTTTGCTAAGGAGAAGATGCATCAGCAACAGGCTGTTTCAAGTGCTGGGTTGGTCTTTTCTTTTTGAATAAATGCATATGAGGAGGAGGAGAACAGTGGCGGGATTCAATTTTTTTACTACCGATTCTGTGGGTGTGTCTTGGGCATGGCAGGGGAAGGATACTGCAAAATCTCCATTCCCACCCTACTCCAGGGGAAAGGTTACTGCAAAATCCCCTATTCCCTCCCCACCCCACTAACCTGCTTTCCAGCTCCATTCTCCTGTGCAGGGCAACAAAAGAAGGCCCAGCCGATCAGCTGGGGCTCAGGAGGCAGAGAATAGATGGGTGTGAGGCCAGTCAGAGGTGGGATTTGCTGGTTCTCCAAACTACCTAAAATTTCCACTACTGTTTCTCCAGAACTGGTCAGAACCTGCTGAATACCCCATTTGAGGAGGGACACTCTGTGCACTGCATTAAACAAGCTTTCTTTGAGATTATTATTTTTTAAATAAACCTAAATCAAAAGGTAGCACCTTTTCCATCTAGCATTTTTTGTTATTTAAAAGCTTGAGAACAAAAAAATGTCATTACCAGGCAAAATTTGTCACATTGCCTAAAAATACTTACTTATATAGCATGATTTTGTCAGGCCTATGAGGTAAACCAGATCAGGGACAATTCACAGAATGACAAGAACTAAACTTTATCGGGCTCGGGCTCAGGTAGCAGAATCTAGGAAGTCTCTCTGTGTTTTTTCTTCCCTCCCCAGGAAATGCTGTGTGTGTGTGTCAGTCTTGAGTAATACTTCCTGGATTTAACACATGTTTCTTCTGTTCTTGTTTTTGTCCTAATGACTTCTAGACAGCTTCTTTCAGGTCATTTCCAAGGATCTCTTTGGATTTTCTGATCTTTTCCAAAAAGGATCCCAGGGCAGATGCCAAACGTGATGGAGTTTAATTTAGGTCCAGCTAGATAGTTTGTATCTGCTGTGTGTTGAATAATACCTCTAACATTAAGCGGGTTTCCAAAATGTGACCATTTTTAAAGACAAATATCTCCCCCCACCCCCTATAAATAGTTATGGTGGGTGAATTGGGCTTTAGGTTACATCAAGAAAAATTACTTCCAGATGAGAATATAGATTAGGGTAGATCAGCTCTTAATTATTTTAGAAATCACAGTTGATAATAAAATGGAGCTTTTTGATTACCAGAATGTAGGTTATTTCTCTTACAAGAGACAACCTCAGTGGTTACCAGTTTCTCCTTCTTTATAATATTTAAATGACCGGTCTTATTGCCAGTTTGCCCTAGGAATGTCATCTTTCTATGAACCCTTTTTCTTCTAAATAAGTTTTCGAAGAACAAGAAGTTTTTGGGTTGTTCTCCTGGAATTTTGGAATCCTTTGCAAAGTTCAGGTGGCTCCTGAGACAATCCCCCCCCCCCATTTTTGCTTTTGAACAGTTCTTTGTGAAAATGACGGATTGAATTTATTCCCTTAGCACAAGAGTCTTCCAACATGGCAAGTTTAAGACTTATGGACTTCAACTCCCGGAATTCCTGAACTAACACGACTGGAATAGGAATTCTGGGAGCTGAAGTCCACAGGTCTTAAAGCTGTCAAGTTTGAAGACCCCTGCCTTAGCAAATGAGGATACTGTCTTTTAATAAGCTTCAGTAGCTTTTTACTAAAAAGAATAACCATGTTTAATATTACGTAGGGGGGGAATTCCTGTCTGTAACCCTGAATTCCAACAGCTTCTTTTAAGTTTGTTGGTTGACCCAGTTTGTTTTCCTAATTTTTACTCTGCACATGAGCAGGAGAATCAAGATTGACACTGTCTACACAGCTGATCCAGTCATGAAGAGCCTGGAATGAACAGGATGTTTATTCTTCCTATGATTGCTGAAGCTTTGGTTCTGTTGGGCTATTTCCTTATTGAAAGTGGAGATTGTGATCATCTGACAGCTACTGTTTTATTGTAATGTAAATTTAACATTCATGTTGAAATCACACCCACTTTGAGTTCTATGGTTTTACGTTATCAGGACATAGTAAAAATCATTTGGTCCTTAGCAGTTCTTAAAAGTAGGTAAATACAACCTCAGGTGGACAACAACACATGGCATATTACACCATGCCATCATTTATTTTACAAAAAGGAAATCAAAATGGAGAAGCCATGTATGAAAAACTAAGCACACCTTGTGATTTAGTAGCTTGCAGAATTACTTTTAGAAGTAATAACTTGTAAGTAATTGTTTTCTGTATGACTCTTCTCAGTCTCTCACATCGTTGTAGAGGAATTTTAGCTCATTCTTTACAACATTGCTTCAGTTCATTGAGAGATTTGTGGTTATTTCTTTATGCACAGCTCCCTTGAGGTCCCACCACAGCATTTTAATCAGGTTGAGGTCTGGGCTTTGACTGGACCATTGCAACACCTTGATTCTTTTCTTTTTCAGCCATTCTGTTGTAGATTTGCTGGTGTGCTTGGGATCATGGTTCTGTTGCATGACCCAATGTCGGCCATGATCTAGCTCAAGGATCTTCAAACTTGGCAAGTTTAAGACTTGTGGACTTCAAGTCCCAGAATTCCTGAGCTAACATAACTGGAGGAGGAATTCTGGGAGTTGAAGTCCACACGTCTTAAAACTGTCAAGTTTGAAGACCCCTGCTCTAGCTGTCGGACAGACGGCCTCACATTTGACTCTAGAATACTTTAGCAGAGGAGTTTTTGGTTGACTCAATTGCTTCAAGGTGCTAACTCCTGTGGCTGCAAAACAAGGCCAAATCATCCTTCCCTCCATCACCGTGCTTGACAGTCAGTATGAGATGTTTTTGCTGATATGCCCTGCTTGTGTATTACAGCCAAACATCTCCACTTTGGTCTTGTCTAAACCGTATTATTCAATCTTTTGCTAATTGTACTGCCATGAATGTTAACCATTTAACATACTGAGTTCTGGAAAGTGTGAGATTTAACTTTGAAATTTTGGGATTTTTCTCAGCATTGGGGCAAATTTGCTGGGATGTTCACTCCTGGGAAGACTGGCAAATGTCTTGAATATTTGTAAATAATCTTCCTCAATAAGTTGTTTGGAAATGGCCTTATAACCCTTCCCAGATTGATGGGCAGCAACAATTGCTTCTCCAAGGTCACTGCTGATGTCTTTCTTCCTTGGCATTGTGTTAATACACACCTCAATGCTGCAGACCAGCAAACTCCTAGAAGTTCAGATTTTATAGAAGTAGTCACACCTGCTGATGATCAGTTGATCAAGGACATTTTGATTAGCAGCACCTTAGCTTTCATACCTATGGAAGCACTAAGGGTATACTTTGTCACATATGGTTTCTCTATTTTGGCTTTTGTTTTGTAAAATGATGACATGGAGCAGGGGTCTTCAAACTTGACAGCTTTAAGACTTGTGGACTTCAACTTTCAGAATTCCTCCTCCAGTCATGTTAGCTCAGGAATGCCAAATTTGAAGACCCTTGGAGTAACAAGTCACGTGTTGTAATCCAGGGGTCTTCAAACTTGGCAACTTTAAGACTTGTGGACTTTCACATACTTCTGTGAAAGGTGATTTTTACTATGCCCTGAAAACATGATAGTGTATGTATTCGTATGACTGTTAGTCCATGATAGCAAAAACAAAAAATCCGATCATCTCTTTTCCAGCTAAAATGTTTTATGAAAAGACACACCTGATTTTACAGTAATGAAAATCAAATGCCTTATGAGGCCATCTTTTCTTGGCCTCAGTGGTTTCCCATTGCTGCCTTCTTTGTCTTCCTAACTTAGCCTACAGCCCGGAGGTTTGGGGAGGGGGGCGTCCTTGGTGCTGAGCTTGCTTGTTTTCTTGCTGACCTTTCATTACCCAACATCATCAGTGTTAGGAGGGAATAGGATTTGCTCTCAATTTATATTCTAGTGGTTTGCCATGACAGGGTTGATGGGTGTGGTCTTGGTGGTTCTTTGGCTGGACCAAGACCAATCCCACCAACACTGACGGGGCAAGCTACTAGAACAGGGGTGTCAAAATGGCAGTCCATGAGGCAGATGTGTCACATGCAGGCCACGCCCACCCCAGCTTCATGAAGGGAAAATACATTGCAATATGTCACGTGACATGACACCCGTGGACTAGAATATAAAAAAAAAAGCAAAGCATTCCTTACTAGCACGGATGATGTTACCTAGTCGGGTCATGAAACGTCTTGCGAGCAAAGCTCATAGGGCGGCAAGGACCCCCGGCCCTCATTTCAACTCTTGAGCTACCAATATTCTCCTTTCTCGGAACAGGGAGATTTCCAAGTGGTTCCCCTGACCCGCCTCAATCCCGGGCTTGGCTCAGCCAAGAGCCCCCCCCCCACCCCCCCCCCCAGCAACAACTTCTCCCTTCCCTTCCTCACCCTGCCCCCACTCCTGTTGCAACTCGGGAGTAGCTTCCCTCCAGCTTTGAGTGCTAGAAAGACGCCAAGAAGCCGGGAAACCTTTTGTCAAGCCTTCAGGCTGGGAGGGGAAGCGGCGGGGCGGGGCAGCCCCTCCTAAAAAAAAAAAGAAAAGAAAGAGGGACCCCTCCCCTCATCCAGCAGCTGCAGCCGCAAGAGCCGGACGCGGGCGGGCGGGCGTCTGTGCGCCATTGCCGGCGGGGTCTCGCCTCGCCTCTCAGTCCAGCTGCCCCCCCCCCACCTCTCCGAGCTCCTCCCGCGTCTCTCTCTACCCCCCTTCACCGCCCGCGGACTTCCTCGCCGTAGCAGGGCGCTGTGAAGGGAGCCGGACAGCGCGATCCTGAGGCGGCGGCTTTCCTGCGTTTAGCCTCGCCGGCGACGACGGCGGCCAGGAAGCGGGGGGTCTCCACAACAAGCCCGGCGCGCCTTCCAAAAGCCCCTCGCCCGGCGGTCCATGTAGCCCCGGACCGAGCACGCCCAACACCGCCACCCTCCGCCGCCGCCGCGATGTCCTCCCCGGTGCGCTCGCCCACCCTGCGGCCCCATCGGATGAGGAAGGACGAGTCTTTCCTGGGGAAACTCGGAGGGACGCTGGGCAGGAAGAAGAAAGCCAAGGAGGGTGAGTAGCCGGACCCGGGTGGGTGGGCAGGCAGCCCGGGGGACGAGGACGAGGACGGGACGACCTTCTGGCTGCGTCCGGCCCCGCTTCTCTCCCCCGCCCCCCGCGTGCTTCGAACGAGAACCGTCGCCCGGAGCCTCCGCGAAAGGCACAGAGCCCGGGCAGGTTAGGAGCCACGCCAGCCCGAGTGTCCCGGGTGGGTAGGAGCTCGGGAAGAGACCTGGCGGTGGAATTAATCCTTTTCCCGGATTTGGATAAATTTGGGTTTGGATAAAAGGCGCCACCCTGACCTCCAAATTGCTAAAAGGATGCAAATGACCAGCTGTCTGCAGGGAGTATAAATCCTTCCATTTCCCCACCATCCGGTCAGAGCCGAAGAAGCTTCTTGGATGAGAAGAGAAACGTCTTCAAAAGAAAAAACAAGAAAGTCCAGTTCCCTCATGGAGGAAAAAAAGGACCTTTTGGGACCCCAATAGAATGGAATGGAATGGAATAGAATAAGGAATAGAATAGAATAGAAATAGAATAGAATTCTTTATTGGCCAAGTGTGATTGGACACACAGTGTACATAAAGAAAAAATAAAATATATTCGTCAAGAAGCATAAGATACAACACTTAGTCACAGGATACCAATAAGCAATCAAACCATACTAGGAAACAAATAAAAACAATATAAATTGTAAAGATACAAGCAACATGGATATAGCCATGGGTGGGAAGAGAAAAGTACTAGGAAGGATGAGGAGAAGAATAGTAATACAGTCTTAGTAGTTAATTTGACTGGGTTGAGGGAATTATTTGTTTAGCTGAGTGATGGCATTCGAGAAAATCTGTCCTTATGTCTAGTTCTTCTGGTGTGCAGGGCTCTCATTTTGAGGGAAGGAGTTGAAACAGTTTATGTCAGGGATGTGAGCTGCAAACACAGCTGCAACCCCTTGCCAGGTGTAACATCTCTCTCTCTCTGGATTGGGCATGTTGTGTGAAGGCAGCTGGAGCCTGTGTTGGGTAAGAGAGCCAGGAGTGCCTCTACAGGTAGTCCTCAACTTACAACACTTCATTTAGTGACGGTTCGAAGTCATAACGGCACTGAAAAAAAAAGGGACTTCTGTTTTTCAAAGTTATGACTTTGGCAGCATCCCCATATAGTCACGTGATCAAAATTCTGTTCAGATGTTTGGCAACTGGTTCATACTTATGACCGTTGCTGTGTCCCAAGATCACATGATCGTCTTTTTTGACCTGACAAGCAAAGGAGAAACGAGATTCACTTTAACAACCGGGTTCCTAACTTATCAACTGCAGTGATTGACTTAACAACTGTTGCAAGAAAGGTCGTAAAGTGGGGCAAAGCTCACTTAACAACATAAATTTTGGGCTCCGTTGTGGTCGTAAGTCAAGGACTACCTATGTTGAGAGCTGGTGGCAGACTTGGACAGTGAGAAGGTTGGGGAGGAACCTTGGCCAGTCCTGGAGTCTGGGGAAGGCTCTGACGAGGGCTCTGATCGGAGGCAGAGATGGGGCCAGGGCTATCTGGCAGTTATCAGCTGCCTTCGGAGTCAGAGATCAGTGGGGCAGAAGACCAGCTGGAGCCTGTTCCCAGTGTGCACATGCACAGAGCTGCCAGAAGAAGGGAACAACTAAGGAACAAGGGAGTAAAGCCACAGGTGGACGGTGAATGGCCCCTCCCAGAGGAAATAAAGAGCAGCGAAAGGGGAGTGTTGTTTGCAGGAGACGGTTAGTTCAACTCATTAGAGTGAAGATCTATTCCTGACCTTACCAAGTAAGTTCTGCTACAGCGTGGCGTTTGGAAGATATTGGCCTGGCAACTCTCCAAGCCTGATAAAGGTCTGTAGTTGTGAAATCTCATGGAAGACAGTTTGCCGGGACTTTGCTGGAGAGGAATTCAGTTTAAACTAAATAAAAGGGGTTTTATCGGTAGGAGGAGTCGGCTTCATGATCTTGGGAAGCCTAGGTCAGAACAACTTACACTCACAGAGGAATTCCTCCCAGGAAATAGAAGTCAGTGGGACTGAAACCTTAAAAGTCTCCTGCTTAATCTCTCCATTCGTTTTCCCTTCTCTGCAATTCCAGTTGCTTGGTGGGAATTTTCATATGGATTTGATCCATGCAAAATGATCTTGAGGGGATTTCAGCCTCCTGGTTAATAGCATTTATGTATTTAGACAGAAGGGCCCAGCTGAAATCTCTCTCGGAGTTTTTGCTTTGCCGTTATAGAGGATCAGTAAGACTGCCCTACTCTACAAGGTTGTTGTTACGATCCCCGGGTTTATGCATATGAAATAATGATGGTCATTTTTACAATACCTGGTCATATAGCTGAAATTTAAGTGAATTTAGTTAGATCAATAGTTGAACTAGATGATCCCTGGACTTGGTGTCACCAAGCTGTTGAAAGAATTACGCTGAACTGTGGGAGTTTTTGTGATGTGCAATAAGTTAAGGATTGCAAAATGGGAATGTACGGATAAATTATGCAAAACTGGAATGAGCCCCAAAGCAGCTGTTTTTGCTTTTCAGAGACTTGTAAGCTCACTGACTGCAAGAATATTCTTTTACCTTGCTCTCTCTCAATTGAGCTCCATTCAGATTTAATACATTATGATGACCCCGGGCATGAAACAAAAATAACAAAGTCACAAAAGTAGAATAAATTCCTTTAATGCCTCCAACTTGGCCCCAATGTCCAATTATCCTCGGCTGGATAACAAACTCTTCCAAAAAAACAGTCTACGAAAGGCAGAAATGCAGTCCGAACCCAAAATAAAGATAATTAGAAATTTTAAAAAAACAAACACAAACCACACTGAAGTAATTAACAGGGCAGGCCAGGATGATAAATTGCAGACTTTCAAAGAATAATGCAGCACTCACAGTTGGGAGGACACCAAAACCCAGATAAGCCTCGACCAAGATAATGCACGCTTTGCTTCCAGCAAGGAGCCGTGTGCAAATGCCCCACTTATATCCTGTTCTCCCAGCTGCAACCAATGAAAGGGATCTAGGCCTTTTCCTCTCTCGCAAGCCACGTTGCTCCCTTCTCCGTTCCTCCCTGTGTTCCCTAGGATGGAGAGGGGATGGTCCTGGGTCTTCCTCTGAATGCCCAGCCAGACTGCCCTTCCCCCGTTTCTTCCACAGCCACCAGAGCCACACTCCCACTCCCTGTCAGCTGCTCAATCTCCCTCTCAGAATCAGATTCCAACAAGGGCATGACATATCTATTTATTTATCTTGATCAGGGATGTTAAACTCAAGGCCTAGGGGCCAGATCCGGCCCACGGGGTGCTTAGATCTGGCCCGTGGGGCTGCCCTGGAAACAGCAAAGGACCAGCCCAGGGTGCCTCTGCCAGTGAAAACGGAGCTCAGGAGGGCCATGGGCGGCCCCCTTGAGCTCCAGTAGAGGGTTGCAGAAGGCTGTTGTAGCAGAAAACGGAGCTCGGGAGCCTGTTTTTGCTGGTAGAGTACTTGGGCCACCATAGGCATCCCCGACACAAGTGATGTCAAGCTGGCCACGCCCACCCTGGCCACGCCTATCCTCCCCAGGTCAAACACAACCCTGATGTGGCCCTCAGTGAAATCGAGTTCGACACTCTTGATGGTTGCATTAGCAGCAGCAGCGAATTTAAACATTGTCTTTTTCCAGGATAATTTTTTCCACCTCACAGATTTGCAGTTCTGAGATTTCCTGGTGGTCTCTCATCCCAAGTTCAGCCAAGCCACATGAAGCTTAAAGCATTCATTTCCTTGACTTAGAGATGGAGGGTAATATAAGAAAAGATACAAATTGATTTGTGGATTCATATTTTTAAGAACATTAACATTTTAAAACCAAATTTGAATTGAGGTACTCTTCGCTTTACAACTGTTTATTTAACAACACTTAGAAGTTACAAAGCCAAAAAAAGCGAGTTACGATTTGTACTCAGACTTACAACGGTTGCACCATCCCTGGGGTCACGTGATTGCAATTCTGGCACTCCGCAACTGGCCCGCATTTACAACTGGTTGCACTGTCCTGCAGTCACATGATCACAATTTGAGACCTGTTTTGCCGACTTACAAGAAAAAACACCCATTGGGGAAAGCTGGATTCAGTTAATGACAGAGTGATTAATGACTGCCATAAAAATTGTCATAAAATCAGGTCCAGCTCGACTCACGACTGCAACAACTTACAACGGAAATTCCTACATCCAGTTGTGGTTATAAGTTGAGGACTACCTATATTAAAGACGGCCATAATTTGGAGGGGCAAAACTCTCTCTCCAAACGTCAACTTTTTGAACACGCCTGCGAAGCTTTCTTGACAACTATATAGAAGTGGTTTCCTATTGCTCTGAATTAGGTGTCATTTAAAAAAAAACTTTCTGGCCATGGGTGGTGCAGTGATTAGAGTGCAGTACCGCAGGGACGCGGTGGCTCAGTGGCTAAGAACGCTGAGCTTGTCGATCAAAAGGGTTGGCAGTTTGGTGGTTCGAATCCCTAGCGCTGTGTAATGGAGTGAGCTCCTGTTACTTCTCCCAGCTTCTGCCAACCTAGCAGTTCAAAAGCATGTAAAAAATGCAAGTAGAAAAATAGGGTGGGAAGGTAACAGCGTTCCATGCGCCTTTGGCATTTAGTCATGCCGGCCACATGACCACAGAGACGTCTTCGGACAGTGCTGGCTTTTCGGCTTTGTAACGGAGATGAGCACCAGCCCCTAGAGCCAGAAACGACTAGCACCTATGTGCAAGGGGAACCTTTACCTTACTGCAGACTACTGCTGCCGGCTGCAAGCAGTTCTGTTCTCACCAGGCTCAAGGTTGACTCAGCCTTCCATCCTCCCGAGGTTGGTAAAATGTGGACCCAGATTGTTGGGGGCAATAAGCTGACTCTGTTAACCCCTTAAAATGGTATATAAATCTAAATGCTATTGCTATTTTCTCGTGATTTTCCCATCCGAAGACTAAGCCTATCTCACCTTGTTTAGTTGCCAAGGTT